GATCCTCAGGCTTAAAAAGTTTTGGATTTTTTCACCAAGGGGAAAAGTACTCTGAATACTTTTGGTCATTTATTAAATATTAATTTGTTTTAAAAATACCTTGCTAACAGTTAATGGCTTTCTCTCATCTTTTAAAAAGGCCAAATCTCCTTTTTTTTTTTTTTTGCCATTTTAAATGATTTTCAGCTTTTGAGGTGGCGATTAGCATCTTGGTCAGAGCCATAAGCACAAACAAAACTTGGTCATGCATCATATCAGGTCATACTGGTATGCGAAAAAAATGTGCTTATTCTGTTTTCAGCTTTTATTTTGGTTTGCCAAAACAAAGAAACATCTGTTGCCCAGGGGAGAGCTGACAGACACACTGATTTTCAAAACCCAAATATGATGGAGGCTGGTGCAAAACCAGACATACACAATGAAGCCACAGCACACTGTCCTGCAGGCTGATATCAAGGCAAGGAAATGTAGAACAAAGTGCACTGCAGTGTTTTAAGCGTGGAAAAAAGAGCTGATAGGTCTAGCTCAGCTGCTGAAGTAATGTTTTCTGATCTTTGCTCACAAAAGATGATTTAAGGTTCTAAAAGATTTATCCCCAAAAAACAGCGTGTCAGAATAATGCATGCTTCTGCTGACTCCATGGGAGGTATAGGGATTGCGCCAATCCATCATGCTGATACCACTGTCCACTCAGTGTCTACCACACTTGTCCTTTTAAAAGGTGAAAAAAACCCTCTTGGTTTTGTGAAAGGTATTTTTTTTCCCTTTATCTCAGTCTTAAAAATAGTGGGAAATGTATACAATCTGTATCCACACTTGGAGAGGCAACGCAAGGGGAAGCATCACTACTGGACTTCAAACTTCTTTACAGGCTTGAGAAAAACCTGAGCCATTATGAAACACAAGTGATCACAAGCTGAGTGTTGTCTTATGCTTTGATTCCCCTTATACCAAACAGAGGTTAAAAGACTACCAAAAGATGTACTGGGGGCTTCTGCACTACAATACATACATCTCAAGCACAGACATAAAAGATCTTGCAAGAATGAGGCTCTGGTAAAGCAACAATTCTATATTTAAGTGACGATTTGTTCATATAATGCTTTCAAGGGGAATCCTGCATAGCAGCTGGTTCCCAGCAAGCTCAGCACAAGCCAGAGTGCTCATTTTATTCTACCTTTTCATAGCCTTAAAAACGTGGCAGCTCTTTCTGACTTTTCTTTTCACATCTCAAGAGAGTTTCTGCTGTTCCAAAAATTCTGAAAGTGTGGACTTCAAAAAACATGACCATTTTTAGACATTTTAAAACACCAAATGAGGGGAAAATAAGACAGGTTAAATAAAAAAAACCCCACATACATGCACATATTTGATTTAAATGATGAAATCCTACCCATGAAAATAAGTAAGGTATATACACAAGAGGTGGTCGAAATGATAGCCCTGTTGTCCCATTAATTATATTTATTCCAAAAGCCTAATAATGTTATCTTTGGTCCCAGCTTCAGCAGGCTATAATTTAACACAAGCACCTTTTTTTTTGGCATGTGAATCAGGTACTAGCACTGTCTCTTTCAACCTCTTTTGTGCTTCTAAATTAGAAAACCCAAATGTCGTTTTTCTTCAGATATGAAAACGAAGTCAAGGTCCCCGTAAAAAAAAAAGAGCAATTAACTTGGCAAGAAAACCACTGTACAGGAGTCAAATACAGTACTTGAAAAAAGGGTCTAAAACCTGCAACTGTTCCTACAAGTGTCATCCCTTGTTTAGACTAAAATGACAGAACGCAGCCCCAGAGGTCCCTGACAAAAAATATGAAAAAGTCACAGAAGATATTCCCCACCCACCAATCTGTTAACTGGAGTTTTCTTGCTGCAAGGTAGGAAGGCTTGGTGTTCTGATAGCTCTGATACTGGAAAGCTGGCTCTGTCCCTCTGCCATCTTCTCTCTCCCCAAGAAGCCAATGAACATCAGCACATATTTTCTTTTCTATTTCCCCCATCACTCAAATGACAGAAGTTTTATGAATTCTCCAAATAAAATTCAAGATGGAGCTGCCCTAGCTGAAAAGACAGAGAGAAAGCTAACATTAGGGGTATGGAGTTCATAAGTATTTTAAAATACAGAAGTATCTTGGCTCAGACCCTTCTCTAAAATCAGCTAAGATTTTGTAACTCAGTAAAATTAAACTTGCTATCAACACACAACTGACTGTGCAACCCAGCAAAGGTTAAATGATCTCACTTGTACCACAGAAATCAGACGAGGCGTGCATAGTAAGTGACATATTAAATGCAATTATAAAACCCTACTGAAGTGATGTTAGTGACCTGACACATGACAAAAAAAAAACCTCTGTGAGGCAGTGAAGAATCCTGGTTGGAAGATGTGCTGATATTATTTCTCTGTTGCATAAATCAGATACAAAAATACTTCTTAGCCATCAGTACAAATGCCATAATTGAAAGAAAGTGTTGGAAATATTCAAGAAATTATTAACATGCAAAGAAGGGAATATCTTCCAAGAGAAGCAGAGCACCGATGCAGTGATCAGCAATTGCTAGGATGGGGTGAACAGGTTAGGAGATCTACCTTCCTGCATTGCCCACCTCTGTCCTAGCACACACACAGTGCCACCAGTTGCCAGACATAGGCATGTTCCCATTCTTCACATCTGCAAGAATAATTTTCCAGTATTAACTATGATAAAAATAAAGAATGAGGGAACCATATGGCTCAAAGATACTGCAGGGACACTCCCCCCCCCCATCTCCTGTTGGCAGTACCAGTGACCTAGATCAGCATTTATCCAGCTCTTCTCAAATGTCCCCTAGTGCTGGGGTCTCCAGCACCATCACACGCAGACTCTCTGACACTTGTCTCTCTTCTCTGTTGCAAAGTTGTTTCTCAAAATCTAATCTACATTTTCTTTACTGCAACTTACTGCTCTTTATCTGACTCACAGCAGATAGATCCCAGGCTATTCCCTTCTCTCCAGCAGCCTTTTACACCCTCCAGGGTTACACAGGCTAGCCAAGAGACACAATGACAGCTTCTACGATTTCAACTTGCTGTCCTACATCTTATTTTCTAAATTCCTCGTTGTTTTTATTGCTAAACTTTGCCCTTCCTTATATTATTTTTGAACAGTTGTGCCCCAAAGCAGACACAAATATTCCAGCTGAGTTTTACTAGCACCAGATACCTCAAAAGGATTAATTCATGCATTGTATGTGCAACACTATTATCATCCAGCAAGTCATCATCTTGCAAAAGTACATCACTGTCAGCTTGCATCTCGCTTCTGACACTCTCTAACTTTCAGACTACAGAAGAGGCATTCCTTAGGAGTTATCCCCTGCTTGGGGAGTGAACTGGGAAACCTAAATTCTACCCTTTTAACTTCCCCTGTGGAGATGCAACCTGCATGACAGTATGGTCCCCAGTGAAAGCCAAGAAAGACTGTGGTAGGGTCACCTCATCCGCAGGAACTGCTTTAAAGGAATGCTTAACTCCACCTTTCTCCATCAGCCTCTCACTCCGCCCTTGATGGCTAAGACAAGCACAGCTGGGAGACAAATGAGCATCCCGGCCCCCAAACATGACTCCCAGCTCTTGACCTGATATAACCCAGCAAATGTTCAAAACCAACCGACTGGTCCACACCAAACAGCTCAGCATCTCCCCGCGAACCAGAAAATGACAGACCTATGTGATTTGGTCTCTGCTTGTGGCAAAGCTCTGCAGACGACAGGTTAGGGACGGCTCTTCCCAAAAGACAACTCTCACGGATGGCAAAAAAGATTATTTTTTCCTTTCTTTTCCCTCTGACTTTTACAGTGAATCTGAAAAGGAAATCCTTCTTCAGGCCACAGTGCTGAGGGACTCTGGTCTGAGCCTGTAGCAAAATAGCAATTTGAAGTAGCAATACCTGAAATAGCACTGCTGAACGCGTGTTGTAGTTTAAGCCCAGCCAGTTTCCCTACAAGTCCTTGATCAGAGTAAACATTACTCAGCAACAACTGTTGCGTTGTTCCCAGACTAAAGTCAAAAAACCACCACTGCACCAGCTACTAAGACGGAGAAAAATGCTATAGCTGAACCCAGGACAATAGGACTTGAGTAACCATTTTCACACTTTTGGGGAATACTTTATTACTGATTGGGAGTCTCTGTTTATAGAGAAGACAAGCAGTAGGCAGTGGTCCAAATGAGACAAGGCGTAGCTGCGGAGCTCCCTGCCATCCACTCAGCAATCCCATCACATAAGAGGGGGAAAAAAGGTGTGGAAAAACCACGTGTACTTCTACTTAACATTGTTAGCAAAGGAGAAACACACACACAGGCTTTTTATATGCCATTCTCAAAGGATACAGGGATTTTGTTCACTTATTGAATAAGTTAGCTTGAAAAGCTTTCTTTCTGCTTAATGCCACTTTCAGCTGCCATCAGTGCCCTTGTGAGTAGTACAGATAGGTGTCAGACATGGAATCAACCATGGCAGAGAGGCAGAAAGCAACCATTTTCTGAGCATGCTGTTTCATTCTACAACAAAATAAGTTACATTGTTCACAGAATTATTCTTTACCCATCACTTCTCAGCAGGACAGTCAAACACTATTTCTGTTCTTTCTCTTTCTCTGTACAGTTCAATTTTGTTGCTCCTAGGGATTAGGAAACAAATTACAAATTGACTGGTTTGAACCCTCAACACATAGAGGGGTAATATTGCTTAACTGCAGGTAAGTTGCTGGGATGCAGTTCTCAATTTTAATATATTCACTTTCATTATCAAATTAATTACTTGGTGACAATAGTAAACAGAAATAACCAATAAAGATAACTGCACTTTCATTTAAGTGTATGTTAACATGCAGAAATGACATACAGTAAAGACATCTGAACATGTTTAGTTCTGGTTGTGGGCAGTGTCCAAATTCTTGGGTTTTAACTTTGAAAGGTTAAAAAGTTAAATTGTATTAATTTAGTGGTCTGTTCACATTATCCAGTAGGGATATTTTGAACCATTACAGAATGCCTCTTGTGCTGTCCGAGATACAAGCCAATGAAATCAAGATGAGGATTTGTTATAGGTCAATTATTTCTGCTGGGAGAAAAGATCAGTTTGTGATAAGAATTAGAATGAAAGAACAGGGATAAGAATTTGAGAAATTTTCACCTCATAGTAGCATAATATTTGCTTTGGAAAAGTTTAAATACAGCCTTTATTTCATATGGGAAACAAATATAAAAACACCCACTGCAATTTTCAGTGTCCAGGTTGTTTACCCTTTCTCACTGAACAGAAAACACCAATGAATTAATTCTCCTTATTCTGCATACCACATGTTTAATCTCTCAAGCCTGAGTATCAGCTACCAGAGTACTTTACACTAACAAGGACTACTCACAGCCTGCTCATTGATAGAAAGAGAAACTGCCCAAAAACATTAATAAAGACTTGAAACAGCAAGGGTTGAACTCCCTGCCTTTGTATCCATAATAATGCCAAATACCCTTTCCTCAGCCTTTACATGGAGTCTCGCATCTCATGGACCCCACTGGAAGCGAGGGTGATATTTCTGCCCCTCTACTCCCAGGTTCTCCCATAACCTTACAGCTGCCCTAAGGAAGTGAGTGATCAGCCAGAGGCCAACATTAAAACTGCATCAATTCTACCACAGCTTCTACTTTTTTCTCTGTTTTGTTCCACATAGTGAGAACATCATCTTCTCTTAAATTGTAACATCTAGGTGCTGGTTAAGTGACACTTAGAGCTGTTTTTTGCAAAGACTGCTAACTTCTCAGGTTCACAACCCTCCTGCACTGTGTGACTCCTGCATGCAAAGGCAGCAAACGATGTTCAGTTTCACACATACCATGGATCCAGCCCTCTAACACAAAGACAGTTTCTGTTACTTCCTGCGAGACTTCCCCCAGATCCAGCACAGGTATCACCTCCTCAGCTCAATCACTCACAAGTTTCTAATGAGATTTTAGCCTTTTATGTCCCTTCAGTCTGCAAGAAGTTAGCCTAATCTTTTCTTTCATGTCCATTTTGAAGTGATTCTGCTGTTTTCCCGGCTACTGTGTTTTGTTTCTTTATGCTCTTGGGCATGGCTCCATTGCAGAAACTCCTCCACCAAGGCCTAGGACAAACCCTGCACTTGTACTGCCTTGCCCTGTGCTAAACTGGGGGACAGATAACAGAGTTTATGGGTGGTCACAGGGTTGGGTCAAGCCCTCATTGCTGCAGCTATAGAAACTTTAATACTAATATATGTATATATGTCTCCTGACAGTGTGCTAAGATAACAGACGATGAGAACTGGGTGCGAAGGGGCACTTCCTTTCCAGCTGCATTTCAGTTTTGGAGAGTGATGGCAGAGTGGGATACTCTTTGCAATATCCTGGTTGGATTGAAGATACCAACTTTATTAAAATTTAAACATCTTTTAATTAACAAATTCTTTGCAAGTCACTGTCAGCAGTGGTTTCCATGGACGCTGCTACTGGATATTGCAGAGCACAAAGCAGAGCTGCAGCAGCAGAGGGGGAGGCCATAGAATCACAGAATGATTAGTGTTGGAAAGCACCTTAAAATCATCCAGTTCCAACCCCCCCTGCCATGGGCAGGGACACCTCAGTCTAGACCATGTTGTTGAAGGCTCTGTCCAACCTGGCCTTGAACACTGCCAGGGATGGAGCATTTACCATTTCTATTTACCATGCAGTGTGCTGATAGGGAGAGGAACCACCACTGCCCACCAGGACCTTGGCCAAAGGGGCAGAGTTAAGACTGGGTTTCACAGCCCTCTCTCCTCAGCAGGGATCACCTCTCAGGAGGGCATCAGGAGAGCGGTGCTGGATGAAAACATGCCTCCTGCATCCACCCACTGCTAGTCCCACTGGGTCCTCATATACCCCACTGGCATGGGATCAGGCTGCGCTTTCTGTGGGAAGGACAGCCACATTCAGCACTGCTCCACACCCAAGGAACATCCCCATAGCTTTTTCAAACCAGAACGGGTAAAGGTTTTCATTTGTTCATCTCAAACATTCAGTCTACAGTAGGTCTACTTTCTGATCGGAACAAAAGGCGATTCTTTAATTAGATTTCAGAATTGCAACACTTGAGGTTAAATCATGCTTAGAAAGACGAAAATTGAAAAATGTTAACTAATGGGATTTACAGATGATTTCCTTTAAAAGTAAAAAATTATTATTACATACATGTACCCCAAGGACCTTTCCATCGCAGTTAAAAATATTCCTTTTAACAGCAGACAATGAGAATATATCCACTTACATAGAAAGATGAATGAAAAAGCTTCTTCTAAGCCATTTTTTTAATGGAAATAAAAATTCCCAATTATAAGTAGGGCCTGCAGTCCCTTCCACCTCATCCTCCATTTCAGATTCGGTATTTCTGTTGCAACTGAAAACTAATGTCACAACTAGGCAACATGGGGCCACATACCTGGGTTCTGACCTAAGCAACAACATTGCTGAATCCCAACTCAGTGGCATGTAAGTAAAGTGAAACACATTTCAAATATCTCTCCTATTTCAGAGTAGTATTTCAACTCAAATTTAATACTGTTTAAAAAACTTAGAACCCTAATGCATACTACAAAAAAGCCAGGTAGCTAACTTTTGCATTGTCATGGGTTTTCTTCAATAGTTCTAACAATTCAGAGAAATTGTTGCTTGTGTTTTAACATTATACCAAGAGGAATAATTATAATCTCAGGGGTTTTAATTCTTGTAAATCCAAGCACTCTCCTTTGCATCACATTCATCTCTTCTGACACAGCCCCCCAGTCAACTGAAAAATCCCTACTGACTTTAACAGAAGCAGACATAGACTCCAAATCTGCTCCATGAAAAAGATCTGTTTCCTTAATTAGTATAAAGATTGAACCCATTAAAATGTTCTGGCTGCAATGCAAACACTGTCCAGTGCACAAGGCTTTTTGCACTTGTGAGTCTTTACTTGCCCAGTGAAGGTCATCACTATGAGATTCTGTTCATTTCCCACCTCTGGTTTGTGGGAGGAAGTCCACAGCCACTGCAAGGGCTAAACTACGTGGTCAAACAAAGGTATCAAGCACAAGCATCTGTACTGTTGACAGAACTTGCAAACACCTCTCTGTATACATGTAATTTAACTTCACGGCTTGTCCTTTTGAAAGTGATATGTGGAAACTGCTGTGGATATGATGAAATCAGATGGAAATTCTCCACTAAAGTACTTATCACATGTCAATAACTTGAATAACTTTTTTGTACCTCTGAATAAATTACCATGTGTCTTACAAAGGTCCCAAAAGTCTTCTGAAAGCAAGCATTTTAAGTTTTGCTTCAAATGATCATCAATAACATCTACCATGAATTTCATGATCTTACTTGCTCACTGAAGGAATCAGCAACAAAACAGAATTCTGTTCTGAATCCACAGAATTGCATTGGAGAGGTATGTTTGATGATATAAATACAGCATGGTACAATACAATAAATAACTTGGAACAAGACAAATAGCTATTGCTTTCACACAGATTGCCTTAAGAAGCATCCTACGGAACTGGCAAAAGAAAAAAAAACAACACGACAACTTAATACCTTTTACCTAGAAAGACACAACTCTTGCACTTTCCCAGAAACCAAAAGTCACCAGTGCACGTCAACTGTGACCCATCATATACAGCAGGATGATTTCTGCTCTTGCAGTGGATGGGTACCCTTGCCCCTAAAATCACTGGCAATCTCAGCAGAAAAGAAAAAGACGGGTTGTTTTGAGATTAAATCCTTGTCCCTTCATTCTCTTTAGAACATGACAGCCTAGAAGCAGGTGGTATGGCTTCCCTGTCCCCTCGGCAGAGGAAGATATCAAAATCCTGCACTGCTCGCTGGCAGGCATCTTTTTCCAGGGCTGCATTTATTTCCAGAAAGAAATTATTTCCCTAAAAGCTTGACATTGCTGCACCAGAACAATGCAGCAGGGTTTGCCAGGCAGGAAACTTTAGGAATTTCACCAGCTCTATGTTCCTGCTTTGATGGTGAACTGGTAAAAGGAAAAACTACCTTCTCAGGAGCCACAAAGCCCTGCTGCAGCTTCCCTTTTACATATGTGAATGTGCTGAGTCATTAAAAAAAGGCATTGCTTCATTAGGTGAGGCAGTATTTGAAGGCTCTGGAGCAGAGATTATTTGGAAGTTAGAATACATATAATAACTAGAGGTAATGTTATGATGTTCAATGATAACAAACTGATTTAGTGCCAGTGCCACTCCAGCCCCAGAAAGAATGCCTTTGTGGCTGTGTGTCTATGAGAAAACCCTACCTGTTTACTCTCCTGAAAACTTAATAATCTGCTGCGTAGCAGGGACTCTCTTGGGGTGCATCCTCTTCATTCACAGACTCTGATAAGGATGGTCTAATAGTATGTTTATCCCAAATTATGGAAGTTTTCAAATCACAAACAGTGTTAAAAAGCTTTCTTGCTTCTTGTGGCAGCCAGCAAAAATGTTAACTCAGGAGTTTATTCTACAGTGGATTATAAATGACATTTAGTAACATGATGGATGTATCCTGGCTTTGCAGCATAAAGATGATCTCAGAATACAAGCCTTATTCCTTGTTTCCACTAGTATGCTGCACACAGAGCAGTGTTGTCAGCAGTCTGTCTTCAGTATTTTGACTAATAATGTTAATGTAGTCTTCTAAATTGAGTTATTGCTCATATTTCTGATCATATTTGTGCTAGTAATATTTTGTTTTTATTTAAACATTTACAAAAGCATTAGTTTGTGGCCAACAGGTTTACTTTTACAGGCTATGTTGTTTCATAATGAAGGCAAGATTATGTGGATCAAAAATTACCACTTGCTTTTGTTTTTAACTGACAAAATATCTTCTGGAAATTATTTTAAAATTCACCTTAATCTCCATTTTTTTCTTCAAACATACAAATATGAAGTCATTGAACTCTATTGCTGTCATAAGGTCACAGAAGATATAAATTTCCCAACCAAGAACTGGTATGGTTTTGGGGATTTTTTGCAATATGCTTCAAATGAAGCACTTCCAGACCAATAACATCTAATGGCCCATCAGCATGCCTTGTAGCTAGTGTGTTTCTATTCAACACTTAAAATGTGTGATATGCAGACAGATGCAGTGGTAATTTTCAGCCTCTGTGAACAATTAGGGTTGAGGACATGAGTCAAGACAGGATTTGTAGGAACTCAATATCGAGTATAAGAAAACACTGTAAATGTGTTTGAGATGGGTCTACCTCACATTAACTGTCAAAGAAGGCCTAAAAAACCACAGCTGGTGATATCTACATTCCCCATTAAATAAAGATCTGATTTACTTCCAATCCAAAAATCCAATCTGCTTCCTGACTCATTACTGCAGTCTTCACATGGCCATAGTAAAGACAATATTACTTTTTATGTTCACTAACTGCAGCAATTGCTCTCCAGCTTCAGGTAACCCAAGGTCGTGATTCACAGTGTCAGCAGGAAATGATAAGGCTGTGCAGCGGGAGGAAGGGTGACATGAAGTAGGGGGACTGAGGGCCATCGGAAGGACTCCAACCATGACGTTCTGGCACATCAAAGACAAGTCATGCCTTTATACATACATACAGGAAAAGGAAGTCCCACCCCTCAACAATCAACACCTAAAATTGTCAATTATCTCAATTGCCTCACAGAGGAAGAAAGAACAATGTATTTTGGAGCTGATTTTAATTAATGTTTTTTTTCAAATCTATACTTTATTTCTATAAAGAATAAACAGAACAACCTCTCTGCAGGGCTGCAGACCCAGGATGAACCATGTGTGAAAAACCTGACACTTTTGCTCAAACAAAAAAATCCAAAGGAATGTAGAAATCATTTGAAACACAGTCCTACTTCTGCCACTGAGCAGCAAGCAACCACTGAAATCATTAAAGAAAACAATCTGTAATTTTCCTCTAGATGTGGAGCATAATGGCTTTTGATACATATGCACCTCACTGTGGCTTTCCATGAGCACAATTAATATCTCTAATGCAGTTAACAAAAGAAACACTTTTTTTTTAAAAATGCAAAGCTGAAAAAAGGGATCTAAAGCTGAGCAAGTAGAGAGAGGAACAAAACACAAAAGCAGTTGCAATGCTCAAGGCAACCTACACGCACACCATCTATAGATGACTCTCTTGCTACAAAATGCATTTACATGGGTCATTATCTTCACATGATACCTAGGCATTCCAGAAGCATTCAAGTGACCACATTATGCACGGCTCAGCAAACCACTTATGCACACGGGTGGCTTTAAAGCATCCTGAAATTATGTCAACAAGAAGGGGAAATGAGGGCTTCCCATTGAGGGAGAGAAAGAATAGCAGAGAGCGCATACAGAGGGCTGGGCCCGGCCCATGCATTGTGTTGGACATAAAAGGCAAGACTTGCAGCTGAAGTTAAAAGAAGTTAAAAATATCATTTTGAGTCAAAAGAGGACAGATGTAGAAAACATCAGCCCTGCTTGCATGCAAAAGATTTCATAACCACCTTCCCTGCACTCACTTCATATAGGGAGAAGCTGGGAGAAGGTAGCAAGAAGAAAACAATAAAAAGACTTGTGCGTAGGTGCGGGAAGGGGAAGACGGCTGTACAATCAAATTGCTGTGGAAAATTGGCTGGTGACAGTTTGAGGCTGAAACATAAACTTGTAAGTGTGAGCTCTGCAGCATGGCAAAGCCTGGGAACCACAGCAGACTCCTGAAGACAAAAAATTAGATGGACTTCACTAAAGTTGCCCAGTTATGCCCCCATATAGCTCCCTGATGTTTAACACAAGCACTGCAGTGTGCTCAACTGGCCCAACAGCTGGCTGGACCACCTTGCTGCTGCCACCCCTCATCACTGATTCACAGCCTGGAGAACAGGACTACCACCAGCAGCCCTGGGATCTTCCCTGAGGGGGTGCCGGGTACTCCCAGAAAGGCCCGTTGAGGCACTGTGTCATAGTCAATCAGACAGCACTTTGTCACTTTAGCAAATCAGGAAATCCTGGAATTAAGCTCAAAAAGCACTCCTGACTCCTACATTACCAACATCTGCCTCTCCAATGTTAAAAAACTCTCCTTAATGGAGACCCTTTAGATGGGCTTCTCAAGCCCATGCCTGCACAGCACACGTCTGGGTACAGGGACAAGCACCACGCTGTCACAGGCAACTGGTTCCTGCTTTCTGCTGGTTAAGGAAATACACTATACATTAATCTCCTTTTACAGTATCATATAAAACCCTAATTATAACCTCATGACTTTTCAACAGACACATCACGCATTTAATTCATGCACAAATGTCAGCCCTCAACAATATTTTTTTTAATGTGGCAGAGTTTGTAATTAAGGGTTTGCTTTATTCATCAACAGAAGTATTAGGGCATGACCAGAGCCCAGGTTTACCGCTGTTTCCTACAGGATTTTGATAAAAGCAAAACCAGGACAACTGACCAGATACATTAACAAGATCATGTGCAAGGTCAGAGGTTTTACAGACCTACAGCTAGAACATAAAAACTTTTGTGAGCCTGGACCAATGGAAACAACCAGAAAAGCACTTCATTTAAACACCTAGCAGATGCTCCAGTCCAGGTGACTGTTATTCCACATGCTTTCCCTCTCTTTTTCATGTCAGTTTAAAGATAGACCTATTTTTCTTTGTTTTACAGATATTTAACACCCCCCCCCCAAACAATTAAGCAGGATCCTTGGTAGTAGTGCTGAAAATAGATTTCTTAATTGGATAACAGAGGCATGCAGTACAGAGTTTACACCTCTGTCACTCAGCCAACAGCAGCCTTCCATTATCCAAACAAGCCAGTCCTGAAAACAGGAAACCAAAAAACTTGTTCAAAATTCACAAGCGCTTTCTTCTGGGTTGGTGGTCACTGATAGGTGCTCATATGTGAACTTTGCTGTTACCTAATGAGCTTTGCTAGGAACACACAGAAACAGAGCTGCATGCTCAAGCGATGAACATACTGTGTCTACCTAACAACACACAACTAAAATAAAGGTTGCTGATCCACTACAATGTTAAACCACGCTAAAAACTTGCTGTCCTTGGTTCTTCTTGCATTGAACTACATTCCCTTGACTTCAGGATAGCAAACAATTTTCCAGGCATTATCAGATAACAATCCTTCCAGCTGTAATGATGTTCCAAGCCTTACAGCAAACAGCTTTTAGCAAGCTGAAAGCAAGCCAGATTCATCAAAACAGAAGCAATCTGGGTGGAATCTAGGTGGAATCTGAGAGAAGTCTTACATTAGAACATGAAAATTCACTGATAAGGGAAGAAAAACATTTCCAGTAAGTAGGATGCACAGAATAGGTGGTTTGTTCCTTTTCACCTGAACATAACCATTAAACAATTTTTCAATTACAAAGTTATCATAGTAAGTGGTCTTCCAGAAGATCACATGACAACAGTGAACAGACTCTGCATCACACACAAGTAGACTAAATGTTACTATTACTCTTGGATAATTAGCCTCAGAGCTGCAACATATCAGATGAAAATAGGTAGCGTCATTGGATAGGCAGGCAACAAGACATACCGCCCTGGTTAACCACATGTGATTTAGCCCTGTCACACCCAAAGCATTAAGGATAAAGAGACTTCGGAATGTTTATATAGAAAATATTAAATTATGAATAAACCACTTTGATATCAGCAATGGCAATGAAGGAGGCAATATTCAGTGCCAGATCACAAAAGCCATAAAGAGCAAAAAAGCCCCATTTTCAAAACCAAGTAATTGGATTAAATCAAATATGTAGTAAGTATCTCTTACCTCATGTAATCATGAGAATGACAGACAATCTCTGATTTTTAGGAGTGACAGACTTATCACAGGCTTAATTTCAATGAGCCCTCTGGAAAGGAAATACAGCAGGATTTTACAGAAAGAATAATTAGTGTGTAAATGCTCTTTTCTGTGTAAAATACATCAAGCAAGAAAGTGTATTTAAGATCTGAATATGAACCTAAAATATTGCATGTATGGTTGGGAACACTGGAAGAAGGTGAACAGGTGTTGTACTGCAGTACAGGTTCTATGCAGACAGCTGCACTCCTTCAAGATACACAGAAGATACTGGATAAAAGTCCAATCAATGACTGAAAGATGGGTAGCAAAAGGGAAGCACAGGACAATTCAATTAGGTTCCTACCCAGGCTTATGACATATTACAGCAGAATTTATCAGCCAAACTGACCATGGGCTGTGAACATTGTCCAGGGAACGGACTGACAAAGGACAAGCCTGTATTTCCACAGCCTTCAAAGCTAAGACTGAGCAGGTGAAGAGAACAGAATAATAAAATAGCAGATGTGATTATTTCTAGTCAGTCAGAAAAGACAATGACAGTACTCCATCTGCTTAACTACAATCCACGTTGCACTTCCTACATGGCAAACAAACAAGAAATTCTGCAGTCTTTTGGGAAATGGCACTCCAATCATGGCGATCTACCAAGATGAGAAGTCAGTTAAACCATCTCTTTGATGATTGGAATTATTCTCTATCTATCTTCTTCTGTGTGACTATAAGCATAGGTAAAACAATCATTAAAAGACAAGTTTCATTAAAACTGTGCAATTTTCCCTCAATGAAAAGATTGCCTACAGTCACTGGCTCTTGATTCGGGGACACTTTTAGAGATTGCTTTTATAGACTGCTCAGAATGAAGCCTGTCCAGAATATATGCTCAAAGAATAGTATTGGCCTATACTACTGACACTAACACAACCTTCAAGATCTAAAACCGGGCTTAGCAAATACTTGCATAGTACTTTGCAGAGAAGATCACTATCTGTATCTGGTACGAGCCTGGGAGTCAGAGAATTACATGGTACCAGGGATACAGACAGTGACAAGAACTGCACCTTTCTGCATGCCAAGTATTTGACGCTGTCATCCTTTGAAAGCTACACCAGAATCAAAACACCAAGTCCACCACCAAGGAGAAAACAGAATGCTGCATTGTTGACTCTCTTTCATCATGTGCTCAGACAACTAAAGCCATTGCTTCACAGGTTAGCCATTAACATTGGCAGTCATTCTTCCTTGCCTTGGTAAACATACTGATACCTAATCAAGAACTGTTTCTCAAGAAATCTAATTCTGAACAGGTTAACAGAAGTCCCTAGGTCTCTGTGGCCAGAAATGCCATCAGTACATATTGTCAGCATAAGAACCTTACCAAGCAGCAGCAAGTCTGACCATCACACCCCCGCAACCAGAGAGAAGGTACATGTCACACTTGCGAGAAATACGTTGGTCTATGAGTGTTATGCCACAGGGACAATTGAAAAAGCCATGATCAACATTCTCCCTAAAAACAAGGCAGTTCAGAAATGTCACTTCCGTTGTCACAGTTGATGTCACTGAAGTGTCACTTGGAGTTAATATTAGCCTAATCAAGCCTATTACAGAGTACTTGTAGTATTTAATAGGCTCTTGGATTTGACTTTTGATATGAAAATCTGCATATTCCTAGATGTTTTATGAATTTCAAATGGTTCAAAGTTAAACTCTAACAGAGCAAAGAACTAGCAAGATGTTGAAAAAAAAAAAACCCTGTTGCTCAAGCAGAAAACGATGTGTCAACTTGCCAGACATAGTGGGCTTTAGCACTGCTTTTGGCAGTGACTCAACATGAATGCAAGACCTCTTTAACCATGCACTGAGCACTTCCAGCCCCTTTGCGGGGGGCATGGTCTCACAAAGGTTCAGGCTCTGCTGATTTCAGAGGCAGCAAAGGGTGACAGCCAAAGCAATGCAGAGGCATGGTGATGCTCAGGCCTGGGGACACCGCCTTGACTCGAGAGGTACCCCAGCTCCTGATCGTTCAGCCATGCAACCAGGTCCCCCTGCAGTCCCTATCATCTAGCACTGGACATGAGACTTGCCTGAAAACCTGCACACTGCTGCTGCAGAAGGTACTTGAGGTATCTGAACACTCCCACTCATCTGCTGCAGAAACAAAACTGGGCAGAAACTGCTCTGTGACATCTATTTTCTCCTTTCGTTTTGTACGGAGGCTAATGAAGAGTTTCATGTACACAACTGTCATGCACAGTAGTTTAACCTCCCTATCTGGGGCTCATGGTCTAAACATGCAAAGATAAGTTGTTTCACACAGAAATTAACTGCTGGGGCATATAACAGACAGGAGGGAGGGACAGTGATGTTATATCCTCGTTGAAGTAAACCATACCTTTGGGATAACAGGTGCCCTTGAGGGAAGGTCAGAGCAAAGCAGCTACAGTGTCAGGAGAGTGACTTTGCCTTTTAACAAAATGCAATTTAGTAAATACACACAGGCAAGGCAACTTGGTACAGACACATTTTCTTAACTACTTCAACCCCAAAAGGCAGCACTCCTCCTCCCATTAGAACACCAAGAGCAGGGGCCTCGAAAAGGATGGAGACAAGGGGCTCTACACAAAGCACAGTCCCCATCCTCTTGCACACACAGCCCAGTGCACATCATTCTGGCACAGGCTGTGCCCCACAGCCAGCATTGGGGTCCTTGTCTCCCTGTCCTGGTCAGGCTGCTTACAACATGCCAACCACGTCCATACCTCTTATGAGCAAGAGAGAGGCATGATCTGTGGAGGGGGAAATTCACCATTTCAGCAAGGAGAAAATAAAAACCCACAACATCAGCAGGTTTTATTTTATTTTAAAAGGGCTGGGTGTTTGGAATATTTGCAGCAGTCCTCAGGGAGACAAATGAATGGGGGTTGTCCATGGATAAAGTGGAAAAGAGTGTATAATGCAGACATTCATCGTGCACAAATTTATAAGCTACATGTGGTTTATAGCATAAATCAGTAGTTGTCTCCTATTCTGTACACAAATGTAGCCTCCCGTCTTTCCAGGAACATTCAATAAACAACTAATCTATATCCTTCTGCAATCCAAATAATCTCCTCCCTGAAGGAAGATTCTGGGAGAAGCAACACAAGTTTCCACATGTGGAAACTCAAAAAGGGTACTGGAAGCACTGTCACTGTACATCCTTGGTACCTGCATGTTGAACCCCTGCAGACTCCGAGGCGCATCCACAACCATGCTGCCATGTACAAAGCCGCATAGAAATATATGTATGATTGTGTGTATCTGACTTGAACAGAAGAGAAAAATGGGGAAAATTACATCCTCAGAGAATCACTGCTGCTCTTCAGCTGTCGCTACCAATGCTGCATCTTTTTGTCCTTGGACCTGACTTTTAAACAAGAGAAGAATGCCCTCCTTTTGAAGTCAATCAGAAATTAGGAAACACAGAAACAAACATTTGCAAAAAGTAAATGAAATACATAAATTTGAGGATTTTCCCCCTGCAAATAATCTCACTTGTGTCACATACAAAGAAGCATTCAGCTCAATGCACATCCTCTTCATAATTATAACTTGCCACATTTTCACAATTCCTGACTCTCTATTTACTATTTTGTTTTGCTGCTGTACAAAGTTTCCTCTATTGCAATCAGCGTGGGTGTCTGGAGTGCGAGCTGTTAAGATTTCTGCTCCTCCCCTCACATCAACATGCTGGAGGTTATCATAAGCAGCTACAGTACGGATCCTGGTTAGAGGTTTGCAGTATCTCGCACAAAAGCAGAACAGTCACTAGAAGGAAGAGGTTTTTTCCCCTTCGCATAACGTTCAAGGAACATGTACGCATGATTTAATGGGAATAAATAAAAAGTGCTAATTATTTGTGGGTTTATAAATCCCATGTAAGCAAAATGCAACATATTGAAGCATCCACTGAAACACTGTGCTTTAAAATTCAATCAGAAAACAAACACACTGGATTCTGAAAAAGCAAAGACTATGCATCATGCAGAAGTGCTACTCCTGGGTAAAGGAAAAATATATTCCTTGCATTTTGGACATACTGTTTGCTTCCACATGTAAATAAAAAGGAGATAATTTAAAAGGAAGAAGATCTGTATATCTCTATATTTTTATATAACCATAACTGATCCTGTTTGGCAGACTGTCACTTGAAAAAGGTTACCTTTTCGAAATTAAGACTGCTCAGACAAAATTACGATGATACATTTTCAGAAGAGGCCAAATCACAGCTTGCCATATACAGCAGCCCCATATTACCTTCTCATGGATGCCTCACAAAGCATTTCCATTTTACACAAGGGTTCACCCAAAGTTCAGATAAAAAGCAGTCCTGCAATTGTTCTTTATTTAGAAGGCATCAAACACACATCAAACACAGGATAAAAATTCAGTGCTCTTTAAGGAGCATTAAGGAGGAGCAATGCCTACTGCTTATGCATTTTTGTGTTTTATCTGCAAAACACCCACACACAGGCATTCCTCAAATAATCTATGTAAATTATATCAATGAATCATCTCTAATCCCTCCAACATTTCATCTTTACCTTCAGCAACTAATGAGTTAAAGATGATAAACATCATTAACAAAGGAAAGAGGATCTTTCCTTTGTTTCCCAAAGAAGGTGGAAGCCAGACTTCTCGCAATGTATTTTTACATTCAGCAAAGTTCCCTAAGCAGAAAATTTTGCTTCTAGCTTGGTTTACTATTCTACCTAAAAAAAGAAAAATTAAATTACAAAAATGTTGATCATCCAGAGGACAAGCATAGTATAAAAGTCATTAAAATTACTGTTTCCTGTTACTGTATCATACCTGCATGTGTATTTTCCCCTTATGGGAAAATAAAGGGAAAATGTACACTAAAATGTACACCAACACCACAAAATCCACACAGTCTGTCTTAATTTCACAGAGAAACTCTTACCAGGGCAAAGAAGAATATATATAATCTCAATCATAATCAGTCATTAAATATTAAACCACCAAATGTTACGCATCTGAACTGTATTTTTGGATGTGAAATTCGCCACTGATAATCCAAAAAGGGCTCAAATAAGTGAGTGATACCACAAACAACAACAACCACAAAAGTGGGTTAGGTTTGTTGATTTTAACAAACAATAGGTGAAGTACAAAATATACAGCTCAGTTCTACAATTCCCTCTGTATGCTGGTTAATGCTTAGGTCTTCAATTAATTCAGAAGGGATTATTTTATGGAGCCAGGAAAAAAGGAATCATTAAGCACTATCAGCAGCCATAGCTTCACATACTGATTTCACGAAAAAAAGGGCTAAACGATAGAAATATTGTATGAATACATAACAGAATTTACCAAACAGATTATAAGTTAGCAAAACATCAATAAAAAACATGAACTCAAGTCCCTGATTAAAACCAGACAGTATTTTATTGTTCTTTCAAACCTATCAGTTATGAGCCTTATTGACCTCTTCTGCAAATGTTCTGTATTACTCAGCAAACAAAATTACCAGAAGTAACAGACAGCAAGTTTCCCCCCAAAAAATGGCTATATTTTAAAGTTATTTGCAGGTGTGCTCATTTTAAAGTTACACACATTTAATTACTTAATTCAAATGTTTTGTAAAATCTGCACATTTTTATTTGAAGTCTGACTGATATTAATAAAAGACTGGAATTCTATCAGAAAGAGGAACAGTCAATATATTAAAAAAGACAGCTATCTGCAATATAGCCCAGATCTAATAAAAGGGAAAAATAAGTTTTATATAAAGAGCAGTTTTTGCTTTTCAGTCATTTTTCCCCTCCAAGTTTCACATAGTTTTGGTTTTTTTTTTAAATTATTTAATTTCTGTCTTTTGGATTTGGACACTTAAATGAAGCACCCGTTATGTCAGTGCGCATTCATAAGGACAGATAAGCTAATACACAGTGTCTCAGTATACAGGAAGACAGCAGAACAGCAAGGGGCTTTAAATGTGTGATAAGCCAGAGGCAAATTTTAAGTTTTCAATGCATTTGGGGGAAGAGTAAGGCCCATTCAGACTATTCTGAGGGTTGCCTGTTGAAATCCCATGGACTGGCTTATGCAGCGCTTCCAAAAAATCCCTACCCACGCCTCTGTTGTTTCCTTCTACTGGATGTATCTTTATCTTTCTGAAATGACAGAAGCAACCTGATTCTCAGCTGAGGGTATTACTGTAGGATATACAGCAGAAACTATGCTTCCCTATATAACACAGTACTCCTCACTGCAAGAGACTAATGGTCATTTGCACACATACTAATGGAAGAATAAAAGAGGTGAAGTAGTAACTGTTCTGTCTGTCCTTTCCAAGTAGTTACATTACCTTTCTGCACATTTCTGAACTTTTAACTGTAATGTGCAGCTGGTGGAAACAGCTGAAAAGGATCTGGACCTGCTACCAGGATATTCCTCCGCCAACCCCCCCCCCCCCCCCCCCCGGTGACAAGCTAGCAAAAGTGCATACCTGCATACCTCTACCTTTAAATGCATACAGCAAGACTATATTGTAATGCAAGTGCACACAAGGACACACATTCACATCTCATTTGATTGAAGACAATCGTAAACCTGTGTGATGTGAATACATCCAATATAGTATTGACTGTAAAGACATTTTGCCATACACTAGCATTTTATCACTACTTACGTAGAAAACTCCGCAATTAAAGAAATAGCATTAAAAAATGAAATACTTTAAGTCCTTCTGGTATACCCCACCCTCCCTGCAGACAGCTACAGAAAGAATATGCAGTGCTACCTATTCAGAGGCAGAACCATGAATATATTGCCTTAAAACAGAGAAGTAAAATCTTGAGAAAGGGGATACGGCAACTACATTTCCCACCGAGGGCTAGACATCACCTCAAGCGACACACTACCTGCTCTCACAAGCTGCAATATTTCTTCCTTCCCATGCAAAAATACATCAGCGTCTGCAAGGAGGAAGAAACACTTACCTTGATATCTCTTGCAAAATAAACCCAACAAAAGAGCCCGGTTCCACCACCTTAAACAGAAAAGGCATCTGAAGAGAGCGCTGAGAGTCAGTGAGCTGGACAGGCAATGCTGAGGCAGGGCCACTAAGCTTGTGCCCCCTTTTTCTGGCAGCAGGCATGACAATGCGTGAACACCCCCTCCACATCGCAGCAGGCAACTGTAGCCAGGAGACAGAGGTGCTTAAATTAGAAAACCGCTGCCAGAGGAAATAAATGGGAATCACAGCGACCCCCTCGACCCCAGCAGCTATCAAATCCGGGAAGATACAGCGCACATCTGTTTTACGAGGCCCCCAGGGAGCTCCAACTCTAGCTACTTACCCTGTCTGCATTATTAATAGATGTTAATGGCACCATAATATCGAAGAGAAGTCTCTTCCTCTTTATAATATGGAAATTCCAAGGGGTTTTAATTAATTTATTTATTTTTTAAAAGGCAAAAAAGAACCCCTACAAACCGTGAGGCAGAAAAAAAGCTTCTTGGTACTGCTAATTGCAGAACTGCACTCTCCCTCCACCCTGCCTTCCCCAGCCATCCTCAATATACTGATTTGGTAGACAAAATCAATTCAAGGCAGTAAACAACTGCAATAAAGCAAACAGGCAGACAAAGACTTCCTGCCATAAGGCAATTCCTGAATACACAATTTTCTTTTTAATAAGGTTCTGAAACATTTCAGCTAGAGCATATACACATATATATTTATGCAAATGATTCAGTTTAAAGAACAGAATAGAACCACACCAGTCAGATGTTTGACTATCTAAATACATGGGTTTATTTCTTCAGCAGAAGTTATCTGTCACCTCATAAAGTATTATTTAGCCTGACATGATGAAAAAATATCCTCTGTCAAGCCTTTGATTTAGATGATGAATAAAGGAACGTGATCCTAAAGTATCCCGAGGTTCTGTTTCTGTTAATGCAGGGATTTCCTCTGGGTCCATTCATCCTCAAGGTAGGCATATTGCAGTCATGCACCAAAGTGTCAAAAGACCTTCCACAAAAGATATTGACCTATTTTAATCTGATCCCTGTATAAATGCAATTGAGCTACCACTGGGAATACAGTGAACCAAAGATGTATTTTTAACCCCTTTATAACACTGTAGACAGAAGGGACAAATACGCACCAGTAACAAAAACATCCTCAAAGGCTGTACAAGAATGTAGTTTGCTTTAACATCAGTGGAAGAGATACAGTTAAGAGTCATGTGAAATGCTACTGCTTGCTCAAAGAACCAGGCACACTTCCTCTGCAGTTTAGTATCGGTATCAGATAATTCTGACCAGTTTTAGAATAAATCAATCAAGAAATGCTGAAATGGTCAGCTTCACCTAGCCGGCTTTCACCCCGCTGTACAAGACACATTTTAACTCCAACATAAAAACACCGCAACATCTCAAACTACAAAGAACACAAGTGCTGTCCTTAAAGATGGCGATACCCATCCATTAATTGTGTGATGAAATTTTTGCGTATGAGGGGCGGTGGGGTGGGAAGAGCGAACGTGTCAAGAATCACCTTCTCGTCCTGCAGATGCATGCTGCAGCTGTTTGCTGGCTTTCTACAAATGAATGAAAAGTGCTGCTAATTCTTCCAAGACAAATGAAACCGATTGGCTTTGTTGCTTGCTTGCCTCTGCGGCTTTTGAGACCACGCAAGTACGATGCAGACACGAAATCACAGGGTCTGGCTGTATTAACTGAATTACAGACAGCACTGATGTGATCATCTTCATCTCTCTCTCTTGCTTTCTCTAATTATTTATCCAGATCAACCCTGACTGCTGGAAAATTAGCTCTCTACAGGAGGTAACCGAGCTGAAAGGTTCTTTTTACCAAGAAATGACGGGCTGGCCTCTAGCAGTACATACACTAGCATGCAGTTGTAAGGAAATGTCACAAGATGTAAATTTGCAAGTAGATTTCTCTTCCTCCCAGCAAAAAAAGACATTTTTAGAAGATATAATTTATGCACACAGACATATATTTATACAGACACACAAAATAGGTAGCCTTCCAAATTCCTGACCCTGGAACTTTAAAGAATTTATGTAAAATGGGAATAGAAAAGATGTGTAATGGTCATACCCCTCTTTTTGTTGCTTTATACATTAATTCCTACTTGCTTGTCTACAAACAAGTTCATAGTATTTCACTTATGCAAGGATTTTACTTCTTGCCAGCAACTGCAATGAGACCAAGTTTTAGTTCTGATGCTTGGCTAGGAAGAAAAGACAGCAACATTTTTGTCACTTAAACGAACCAACTTACAGCAGAATGAAAAAAGCATTAAAAATGAGGCTAATCTTTTTTTTTTCTAAGATCTAGATACTGCTTTAGCCTGTAGCAATCTAAAAGCAACTGTGAATACATTTTTATTTCCCTTTTATTAAACCTGCCAGACAAACAAGGGTAGTTTAAAAGGAATGGCTTTGAAATTATTTTCCAATTAGCAGGACTGTCATTATGAGTTGATTTGCTATGCTGCATGCTTATATGGATGCACACATTTTTAATACATTTTAATGCACACTTTGGTCTAATTCTAGTCACATGTAGGCCAGTATAAATTTTAGTGCTAGAGAGCTCTCACCAATTGAAGCATTACACACAAAACACTGATATTAAAACAATGCAGCTGCATGGAACACAAATATGCTAATTTTTATACCAGTGAGTTTTGGAACATCACTTTTTAAAAAGAAAAAAATAATAATAAAAAAAGCAGATTCTAGGCTGAATCTGCATTTGCAGCAGTTCAGTATGTCAAGCCTTCCCCAATCTTTTAATTGCTTTGGGTGTTATTCGTGCCAGGGATGGGTGAGAATAGTTGTCAACCCACCTGACTGCAGAACAAAGAGCATTTTCTCTTCCAGCATTTGTTACTGATGCTTGAGCCACACCCTGTCCTCCTTACAGAACACACTCTTTCCACATTGTCCTACTCGCATAGAGATGATGTCTTCCTGACAATAAAACATCCTCTAAGATTATTATGCCAGGTTTCACCTTTTTTTTGAATTCCCCCGTGGGTTTACTTTTAAAGGAAGGAAAGGGGCTGCATGCAGAGCTGCGTTTCCCACAGTGTGGGGAGTCCCTGGGCTGCAATGCCTCAGTGCCCTGCAGCCCGGTTCCCCTTGCTCCCGTTGGGATGCTGCCTGCAGATGAAGGGCCTCACCCTACTCGGTCGGTCATGGGAGAGGGCACAGCCTCCCCTGTAAAAAAGCATGGGCTTAGACTGGGTTGATCAATCCTGGAATTCAAGGGCAGACAAGGGAAGAAAAAGAACAAACAAAAACCAAACAAACAGATATACAAATGGAAAAACAAAAGGTGAGGTCCCTTGCTTGTCTCCTCTTCCCACCAGCCCCAGGCATCTGCCTGTGGGGTCAAAACGCTCCAGCCAGCATTAACCCCTAATGCCTATTTGCCAAGCCATGCACTCCCCATTTCACTCCCTCAAATCCTTTGACAGCTCAGAGTTTGTAAGGTTAAACTCCTCTTGGTCTGGGTGAGAGACACGGAAAGGTTGTTCCCCCGCTGCTCTGCACAAAAGCCCTTTGCCTTTTGTTTCTCACCTATGCTCCCATTAGTGCTGCAAATCACATGCAGTGCCTGGCCGCTCCAGAAACAAATAAAGAACAAAAAGCCTCATAGGCTAGCTACACAACACCGAGAAACGTACTGTGTTTTTTGAAGATTTTTATAAATGAGGCACATTCCTGATTTGATCTATTTATAACATAAGCAAGCAACATAAAGCGAGATACAATGTGAGAACCGGTACCTGCAAGGCAACCGACATCCTTTTTTCTGCATATCAGAAACATTTCCTGCACCACCTCAATTTTCTATTACTAAAAGCCTGGAGGCAATCAAACACCACAGCTTCCAGCGCTCTTCTCACCAACTTTTTCATGAGGTTGTAATAACTGCTGAGTTTTTGGTAGTTCCATAACAGCAGGTGAGCTCTAGACATCCTTTACAGCCATCAAGTAGCCCTATCCCTCTACAACTCCTGAGGCACCAAAATTACACTTTCTGACCTAATGGAGTAGCAGGAATGGTGGGTTTTCCCCAAGTTTCAGGACAGAGTTAAAGAATGGCTTGATTTAGCCTGGATTATTTTTGCAAGATGGGTTTACTTGGTCTCATCTGTTTCTCTGACAGAGCATATGCATCTGATGTGCTTTCCAACCCTAACAGAACAGGACCAAACAGTTTTAAGAACCAGCAATGCTATGGCCTCTATGAGGTTTGGCATAAGGCTTTTTACTGTTTGTTTTAAAAAAGAGCTTTTCTTCAGCCATTAGTCCGTATTTGATATGTTATCATCCACCAGCCATGCACCACCAAAGGGAAACCGTGGTGCTCTCAAGCTATGGCTCCATTCTGCGTTAAACAGCACAAACTGTTGCCACTTTAACCTTTGAGATACAGAAAAATAAAACCCCTTTAACTTTTGATCTCATGATTCTTGAGCAACCAGCAAAGCCAGCTTTAAAAGAAAAAATAAACCTGTATATCCCAGGACACATTAAACTACCAACTGCTAAATGGTCTCATTGCTATTTTGAAACGGGGTGTGGGTGGAGATACCTACTGAAGCTTCCTACTGCTGCAGCTGCCATTGCTGCTCACTAGGGATGTGTTTTCAAAAACCCCAGCTCCTAAGGAGTGAACTTGCATTTCCACCTTTTCTGGGACACATCAAAGACAAACATTCTTGTGCCATTTGTTATTCACAGCACCACTGCAGCAGATGCCAGCCTGTGACAGCACCCAGACCTGCTGCAGGCACAGCAGCAGCCAGGGGAGAACAACGAGGTGAGCCAAGAGGGGAAGTCATCAAGTGGAACGGCAACTGAAAAATACGTGGGCAGTGGACTGTGTGACACTGATGTGACTAGGCAGGAGCTGACAGTCAACAGGAAGAACCCCAAACACTTTCCATGAAACAGCAGACTGGTGGCTTTTAAGGCACCCTGGTAGTGAAGGCAGAGCAGTACGGGGGAGACTCACACCCCAGCTCAGCAAGCTGCCACACATTTCAGCCAAGCCTTGCAAGTATTTAATGAACAATGGACATACATGGCACAGTCAGCATCTGCTCTCCTGCAACTGCTGATAATGACTAGAGGTCCTGCATGTATCACTGGGGCAGTCAGGCACCAGTTAGCAGCAGAGGCTTTCCTAAGACACTTGCCCATACAACAGGTTGCACCCTGTTAGATGCCCCTTTGCACTCTGGTTTTTGATGGAAGGGTTTGTGGGATTCGCCTGGAGCCTCCCACTTTTTTCTTGTAAAACTTGGATTATAGTATAAGCTGATCAACCCTGCTCAAGACCTAGCCAAGTGGACTTTATACAGTCACTTTAATGTTGCTGAAAACGTTACTTGAAGGAGAAACAGGATGTCTCCAGAGTACTGACATTGCATGAAT